CCCCAAAACCCCAAAACCCCAAAACCCCTCAGATTTCTTCAAAAATTGAAAAATCTGCTAATCAATAAAAGCATTAAAATTTTGCTAGGACTCTAACCCACTACTTCCTGCTTCAGGACCAGATGATTTATCCTTTAGTTCCAAAAATCTGCACTAAATCTGGCATGATCATGTATATCTACTTCCTTAATCAAGAGAAAACTCCTTCCTGAATTATACTTTTTGTTTTATTTTGGTCTTTTTCCAAAATTGTAATATCCAAAATCTACCTATTAATACGTCTAAATAACGTAAAACATAAACCATGTATCTTTCTCAACCTATGAACTTGTTTTTGGCCCAGGAATTAAGAAGCACACTTGCAGATATTTTCTCTAGAAAATCGATAGCACTGCTAATGAAATATATTAAAGAATTTGAGCCGGGAAAATATCACTGAAATAGCATAAATCTGCCTGCCTCTCCTGTAAATTATAATGTCATATTAAATACGAGATGACTTAGTTTATCATTTGATCTCCTTCTTGGAGATGAGTCTGGTCTGGTCCTTTCACAGGCTCAGGCTGAGGGTGGGATGTACTTCAGAACTTATAAAGAATGAAATCTCTCATATGCGAGCAATAAGCCTTGTATTCCTCAGTAGTGACATTTAAATCATATTTCAAAAATTGTGCAAAAACTCTTCCAAGATAATTGACTTCTTCCTTAGGGATGCTAATAGTTTAGCTTAACATCTGATGGCAATATAGAAGTTGTCAAACATTTTGGTGGAGATTCATATAGTCACGATACTCAGCCTTCTAATATTATTGATCAGAGATTACAAAGTTTTCGTAATTCACTCATATCCTATCAATGTAAACAAAGATTGAGCCTAAGGAAAGATTAGTTTCACCCAAAGCTTTAGCAATGCAGTACAGCATGCCCATTAGAGAATCTCGGTTGTGTCCATTTATTACATATCAAGGATCGTTGAAAATATCTGAGTGTTCTCCCCCAAAAAGTTCTTCCTTTTGATCTTCAATAAAATGGGAATTTGGAAACTCTGCTAAAATATCAGGAGATTTCACATAGTATTGATAACTTGTTCTTCCCCTTAATAATTGAGAGATTAAGGAGATAATGCCGTATTTTTATATGTTTCAAAAATGTTGAAGAGATTTATAAAATCTTCTTGCTAAATTTACTAAGATTCATCATTATGGATATTTCTAAAACTCCTACACAGTACTGAATGCAGAATAATTGAAGGAATCAGACTAAAATTGAGAATTTCTAAAAGCCTTTCCTCTGTTAGTTGGCTTAGTAAAGACCCTCTACACATTTTCACAACTCACTCAATATTATTCAAATTTTGAGAGAATTAGTGTCAAATTTTTTTACATTTACAATATTTCATAATCCTCCACAAACCCAGTATCAATGAATTTTCACCTACAAAAGGAGTGCATAACTACCAAGAGTCTCTTTAACTGCCAAAATACCGGTATTATCTGAAAAGATTGATATGCATAATAGAAATATTACCCTTTTGGTTAATATATCCAGGACTACCCACTCATGAGTCTTTAGTAGACACAAATTAGATAAACTTTCTATAATTTACCAAAGTTTCTTAGGGAATTTATAAATGAAAGTGTAAAAGAGATTTTACAGTGATTTTGAGAGGAGTTAATTTGCCCTTCAGGATGTTTAGATACTATCTTCAGAGTAGTTTATCACTACTTGTACTAGCATTTACTCTTTAAATTAGTGCTCTTCCCAAACTTATTGATGAAAAGTCTTAGACTAAGTTTCCAAAGTATATCCTGGATCTGAAGAAACTAAGTAATTTTGGAGGAGTAATCTTAGCACTAAAATTTAGCAAACATTGACGGAATAGCTTTGTGGTGTATTTCTTTTGATAGCTCTAATTCTGTTTAGGGACTTATCTCATAATTTGCCCTTACCATCTTTTGAAATGGTTAAAATTATAAAAGATGTATTCTCCAGATAAATTTTAACACAGATCTACTGGTAGCCTTGGAATACGACCAAAAATGTATTGGATATAGTCCAGTTGTTGGCTTAATTTTCAAGTTAAAATCCACGATTTTTTTTAGAGTGAGCTAGCCTTTCCAAGCAAATTCATCAACGACTCATTGAGGATTCAAAGTTTCTTTTCGACTGATAATTTTAAAAATATAGACTTTTCCCAGATTGATAGAATTATGTACCTTTATTAACACTGAAGTCTTTACAAGTGGTATTAAAGACCAGCACTAAAGTATGTTTTACTTCAAACTATCATTTTCTCAGAAAACTTTATATAAAACCTATGGTACCTCTATTTCTCATACATTGTTCTTGAAATTTATCAAGGTTCTTTTGGTAAATAAGGTTCAAAAATTCCCCACACTGATTTGCATTAGTAATTCGAATATTCAGGCTAATTTGTCTGTACTGTGGAGTATAATCTCACTCAATTTTAAACTATCAATCTGTAGAAACTTTTATCTCAAATCTCAGCCTTTATTTGCCCGAATATAGCTAAAGTTATTCTAAAAGAACGGAATAATGCAAGTTTTGTGTAGATCTCATCAAACTGACTATATCTGTAAAAGAGGATCCTAAATGAGCCGATTTGGAAGGAAATTACCACGTCCAACCAACCATGTTCCACAACATCCCAGATCTTACACAAATAGCCTGAGAAATTAGGAAGAAATGGACCAGTAGAGAAGAGAGGGCGACTTTTAGGGGGAGAAGGGGTGCTTGAGGGTACGAAGAAGGATGGATAGCAGGTGAGGTGCTTTGGAGGGTAGAGGGGGGTTAATAGGGATTGAGTGTGGGTTGGATAGAGATTAGGGAGAGGAGTGGGTGGAGGTGGGTGTGGGGGTGGAGTTGGGTGTGGTTGGGTTGTGAATTAGAGGGTTTTTGAAATCTATGGTTCTATGATTGTTGTTAAGAGAGTTTTATGGGTTTGGGGTTGGCGAAAGAAGGTGAGTGAAGAGCTTTAGGAAGTTTCTGGAGAGTAAAATATTAAAAATGGAGTTTTTTTATATTATAACTTTGATGTTATGGGCAGTGTACATTTAAGATAGTTTTAAATTATTTAATTTTTTACGATGGTTAAATTGTTTTGAATTATTACTTTCATCAAAGCATAAATTGACGCATTATTAGCATAGCTGAGCATCAGGTGTTTTTATTTATAAATACAAATTCATTATATCTTAATAATATACTCGATCAAGCAACCCAATCCTTGCAATTATGCGATTATTAAAAGATTGGTGATGAGAAGAATGCGACAATTAAATTTATACAGGAACAATTCCCCAAACATTATGATTTATTTTGTACTTCACATTTAATATGACAAGGGGGGTTTTGGGGTTTTGGGGTTTTGGGGTTTTGGGGTTTTGGGG